CTATCTGGCCCGTGCGAAAATCTGACGGAGAATGGAGATTGACTGTGGACTACCGTGCATTGAATGAAGTGACTCCACCACTGAGTGCGGCTGTACCAGACATACTGGAACTGCAGTACGAGCTGGAGTCCAAGGCAGCAAAGTGGTACGCGACCATCGATATTGCTAACGCGTTTTTCTCCATCCCTCTGGCAACAGAATGCAGGCCTCAGTTTGCTTTTACATGGAGGGGAGTGCAGTATACCTGGAACCGACTGCCCCAGGGGTGGAAACACAGTCCTACCATCTGTCATGGACTAATCCAGACTGCACTAGAAGAGGGTGAGGCTCCAGAACATTTGCAATATATTGATGATATCATTGTTTGGGGGAACACGGCAATGGAAGTGTTCGAGAAAGGAGAGAAGATCATTCATATTCTCCTGAAAGCTGGATTTGCCATTAAGAAGAGCAAAGTCAAGGGACCTGCCCGAGAAATTCAGTTCTTGGGGGTGAAGTGGCAAGACGGACGGCGTCAGATTCCTGCGGATGTTATTAACAAAATCACTGCTATGTCCCCACCAACTGATAAGAAGGAAACACAAGCCTTCTTAGGTGCTATAGGTTTCTGGAGGATGCACATCCCTGAGTATAGTCAGATTGTGAGACCCCTTTATCTGGTTACCCGCAAGAAGAACGACTTCCATTGGGGCCCTGAGCAGCAGCAAGCGTTTGTCCAAATCAAGCAGGAGATCGCTCATGCTGTAGCCCTTGGTCCAGTTAGGACGGGACCAGATGTGAAGAACGTGCTCTACTCTGCGGCCGGGAGCCATGGTCTGTCCTGGAGCCTTTGGCAGAAGGTGCCTGGCGAGACCCGAGGCCGACCATTGGGATTTTGGAGTCGGAGCTACAGGGGGTCTGAAGATAACTATACCCCAACAGAAAAAGAAATCTTGGCCGCCTATGAAGGAGTCCAAGCCGCCTCGGAGGTGATTGGTACAGAGGCACAACTTCTTCTGGCACCCCGACTACCGGTGCTGGGATGGATGTTCAGAGGAAAGGTTCCCTCTACCCACCATGCCACCAATGCTACTTGGAGTAAGTGGATTGCCCTCATTACGCAGCGCGCTCGAATTGGGAAGTTAAATCGCCCTGGGATCCTGGAAATAATTACAAATTGGCCCGAAGGTGAGAGCTTCAGTGTCGCGGATGAGGAACAAGAGCCAGTGACTCGGGTTGAGGAAGCTCCGCCATACAATCAGTTGCCAGCAGAAGAAACACGTTACGCTTTATTCACCGATGGTTCTTGTCGCGTCATAGGGATGAAACGGAAGTGGAAAGCAGCTGTATGGAGTCCCACGCGACGGGTTGCGGAGGCTACTGAAGGAGAAGGTGAATCCAGTCAATTTGCTGAAATCAAAGCTATTCAACTGGCCCTAGGTATTGCAGAGAGAGAGAAGTGGCCAAGGCTCTATTTGTATACCGATTCTTGGATGGTAGCCAACGCTCTATGGGGATGGCTGAAGAGATGGAAAGAGGCGAACTGGCAGCGCAGAGGAAAACCAATTTGGGCTGCGGAAGAGTGGAAAGATATCGCTACTCGGTTAGAGAAGTTACCTGTGAAGGTTCGGCATGTAGATGCCCATGTCCCCAGAAGTAGAGCTAATGAAGAGCAGCGAAACAACCAGCAAGTACATCAGGCTGCAAAGATAGGGGAGTTGAAGATAGATCTCGACTGGGAGCATAAGGGAGAGTTATTCTTGGCACGATGGGCCCATGATGCCTCAGGCCACCAGGGTAGAGATGCCACCTATAAATGGGCACGAGACCGAGGGGTGGATCTAACCATGGACAGTATCTCTCAGGTTATTCGTGACTGTGAGACGTGTGCTGCCATTAAGCAGGCCAAACGGGTGAAGCCCCTCTGGTACGGTGGGCGGTGGTCTAAGTACAAATATGGGGAGGCCTGGCAGATTGATTACATCACGCTGCCTCAAACCCGCCAAGGCAAGCGCTATGTACTGACCATGGTAGAAGCCACCACGGGATGGTTGGAAACCTACCCTGTGTCTCATGCCACAGCTCGTAACACTATCTTGGGCCTTGAAAAGCAGGTCCTTTGGAGGCACGGTACTCCTGAGAGAATTGAGTCGGATAATGGAACTCATTTTAAAAACAATCTTATTAATACTTGGGCTAGGGAACATGGCATCGAGTGGGTGTACCATATCCCCTATCATGCACCAGCTGCAGGGAAAGTGGAAAGGTATAACGGATTGTTAAAAACCACCTTAAAAGCGTTGGGTGGGGGGTCTTTAAAAAACTGGGAGCAGCATTTGGCGAAGGCTACCTGGTTAGTTAACACTCGAGGTTCCACCAACCGAGCGGGTCCTGCTCAGTCTGAGCTCCTTAATATAGTAGATGGGGATAAAGCCCCAGTGGCCCATGTCAGAGGTTTGTTGGGAAAGACAGTATGGATCAACCCTGCCTCGAGTGCAGACAAACCCATCCGTGGGATTGTCTTTGCTCAAGGACCAGGTTATACATGGTGGGTAATGCAGAAAGATGGAACAACACGGTGTGTACCTCAGGGAGACCTGATTGTGGGATAAGGCTCATATATGAATGTCATTGTTTGCTGAATGTGAGACAGAAGGAAACTGTAAGTGTCAAAGGTCTGAGCAAGTAAGATGAGAGGAATGCATAAGTGTCAAAGGTGTGAGTAAGTGAAATGAAAGTTTTATTGTATGTTCACGATATGGGATAAGGGGTGGAGTGTCATGGGATGACCGCTTTTATCCCAATATCGTGTATTATGTCTGGCAGCTGTGTTTTTTTCCTCTCTCTCTCTCTCTCTTTTCACCCCCCCCCCCCGGCCGTCTTGCCGCGGCGGGGCGGGGAGGGAGGAGGGAGGGGGACTGGGTGTACTTTGGCTTTTTGGCTTTTTGGCTTTTGGCTGCTTGGCTGGCTGGCCTGCTTGCTTCTGCTTGCTACTTCGCTTGCTTGCTGCTGCCTTAGCCCTAGCTGATAGCTGCCTTTTTTCCCTTTGCTGCTTTCTGTGCTGTTTTTTTTTTTTTCCCTTTTCTTTCGTCCTCTCTTTCTTACCCTCCCCTGAAGATACTGGACCGGCTCCGGACCTGACCTGGGACGTCCGGCGGGACCTCCGGAGCCTGCGAGAGACGCTCGGCACCCTCCACAACACTGACTGGTTTTCTTTTCTTTTCTTGTGTTGGGGAGTGTTCTTTTGTTATTTGCCAATAAATAGGTTTTGTTTTCCACTTTGCTCCTCCAAGGAATTCCTTCCCGAACCCGGTATTGGGGGGGGAGGGGTGGTTGGAGATTTCCCCTAATTTGTCCTAAACCAGGACACCAGCTTAAGTAGTTATTGATCATTCTTCTGAAAATTGCTAAAGTACCGTGGCATCACTAGATCCAGATCTAAGTGTTATCTGACAGTACCATGTAAAACAGATTTTAGATTTTCACTTAGTTTTAAATGCTTGTAGTCACTCAGTGAATTGCAGCAAAGGCAACCCAACATGTTTCATTAGAAAATATTTCATAGAAATAGAAAATATTTCATATTTTTGTAAGGTTATTTTATTTCTTTGCTGTACAGAGGCAGAAATGCAAACCATCTCAATAAATGTACATCAGTAGCTACCCAGAAATGATACAAGTATGTACACAAAGCCCAATTATTTCACTTCAGTGTTGATACCATAGTTCATGTAGAGGTGGATACAAACAGCACTTACACAGTGTAAAGCACAGCTCTTGGGATATTTACATCTTGTTCTTCATATCAAAGGCTTCCAATACACCAGTTCTTTGTTACACTTGTGTTTGACAATCCTGCTTAGTAGTGCTGCCTCAGAACTGAAAAGTGCATTTCTTCATTTTATACATTCTCATGCAGATGGTGAACCACTCCAGAAATTGTTCTCCAACCTTAATTTTTGGAAGTAATTGATTATCTTTGTTTTCTGTCAGTTAAAATTTTAAGGTAAAAAACCATTTTCCCAAAGCTCTGTAGGTCATATGCAATTAAGAAAACAAAGCTCCTAAATGCAACTTCAGAAATTGTTGTCTTTTGACTTGGGAGGATAAGCAATCCTGTGAAAACACTAAACTAATCCACTGCTGGATTTTTAAAACACTTTGGAACATTTCAGGTTAGGAAGTTTGCAGATCCAAGCAGTTTGGAAAAGCCCTATAACACAGATATTTACATTCTATATTAGATTCTTGTGTTGTAATTAATCTGGCATCCCAAATGGGTTTTTTTTCTTCCATCGGAGATCTCACTTTAAAAGGAAAGGAAAAAAGGAATATGATTACTCTAATTGTAGAAAATACAATTTTGAGTTAATCCGCAAACAAAATTAATTTAAAAGATACCTGGGATGAAAAAGACAACTCTCCCTTTCACCTATAAAGCAGCACTTCTAAAGATAATTTCTTTCGCTGTGTTCTGAGCTACTGCAATTCCTGCCAGATTTATTTTTATGCCACAACATCCTGCAGCACCAGGCTTCTTCAGAATCTCTATCCCATCCAATCTTGTTTTAGGAGATTGAAATACGACGTCCCCTCTTCTGTCTGCCCTCCCTTAGGGCAGGAATGAGCAGCAGCACAGTCTTGTTTAAAACAGCATCATAACTCTCATGGCAACAATCTGAGCTGAGCAGGACTCTGTAGTGCAGCAGCTGAGAGCTCCATCCACGGGCTCTGACAGAAAACCAGCAAGGAGCAAAGGAAGGAAAAGGCCAGGGAACAAGAGTGCCTTGCCCTGTGTGCACGTGCCTGACTCTCTGACCTCCTGTTGCCGTGAGGTAACACAACAGCACAGACTTCTCTTCCAGGCATTTCCTATACTCCCACACACCTTGGCCCACAATCCATGCTCTGAAAATTACACTTGTTCAACAGCACAGTTTACAGCTTTATCAGAATGATATGATCATCTTAAGAAAACCAAAAAAATACATGTGGATAAAAATGGAAAAGGAGGATGTTACCTTCATCAGGATAAAATGATGTCTCAGTTTCACTAGATATGGACAGTATCCATATCTTCACAAGTTTCGGCACCTGGATTCTCTTTTTCCACCTCACATAGATACACGTCAATGGGTCCTTTCGTGCTCTTCACATGTACTTCTATGTGATCCTATAAAACAGCAACTTGTATGTAATTCAAAGAATAAAGCTTATACATTTATTTTTGCACTTATTTTAAAGACAACAGATTACAAACAGAACAAATACAGCTATTTAAAATTGCTACTGCTTCCACACAAATTATGACATTACATACACTTGTAGGACAACTATTATGCAGAATTAAGCTAACAAGCTTTCATTTTTAATGAATGTGCATTTAAGTATTTGTTTAGTCTTTCTATCGACCTTCAGATATATGACCAAGACTTACTTATGTTTAGGAAGAGTAACAAAATTTAAAAACTTGACAAAACATTGCCATGAATCCGACAACAAACTGGAGCACAAAGCTTTAACAAAACAGTAAAGCAACTAATCCTTATCGCTTCTACTGCTTTCCTTCCACAGACACCGCGTGGCAAGACACAGAGCAAATAAATCTTAATGCACAGTGGAGAAAATATTCGGTTCCAGTGTACAACTTCTGAAATTCTGCCTTTTTATTGCTTCAGGAGGCATCTGGAATTGTATCTCTTTCATCTCCACTGGATGACAATAGCTCCTTTGACCAGGGAAACTACTGGAGATCTATATAGTGGATCTAACTCTTTGGTTCTACTGATGAATTTCCTTTTCCTAAGATATCCCCACCTTTCTATCCACATAGCGAGGCAACTTCAATGACTATGCAATTGGGAAGATTATCAAAAATGCTCAAGCAAAAAAGAAAATGGAATTAAAGCTCTGTTTGTTATCTTAGGCTGTCTTCCAGGATTTGCCCTCTCAGAGCACTACCAACAGTGGGTTCCCAGTACACAGGCCCCACTATGCAGCTGCAGCACTGCTGGGTGCAGGGGGCAAAGGTCTGGCTCCTCTGTGAGACAAGAATGGAGCCTGTGTATTGCACCGTGGGGTGAGGACAGGGCACAGCCCCACTCCATGAAAAATCCCTCTAGATATCATCTACTAGAGTGACAAAAGGGTTTTCTTTTTCCAACCATACTGTACATTGCATACTTTATTACAGCTTTTCCATTCTCTCTAACAAAACCAGGTAACTAAAGCTCAGATACATTTATGGCTTAGTAATTTAGGCAAAAAGAAAAATACAGCAACTAAGCTTCCAAGACTATTATCCCTGCAGCACTGTTCAGTGGAACACAAGAACATTTAACTACCACTATCTGCATGACAGAGTAACTGGAAATCAATTACTGACTGCTGCTGCAAAAAACCAAATTAATAAACTTTTGTTTCTTTAGGAGAAATGCATAAAACTTACATCTTTAGGAACTGGTATTTCCAATTTGGTTTCCTCTGGAGCTTTGATTGCAATCACAATCTGTTCCTGAAAAGCCTGAATGCTTCGGATATCCTGGTACGTCACATAAGCTAGTGTATACATTGGTCAAGGATTATGTAAAGTCATTTGCTAATGGGCACAAGCAAGAGTATATGATATGAACACATCAAGATATGTTGAGGCAGAATACCAACTGCAGAAAATTGATTCAGCAGAGGTTAATATTAGCTTTGTAAAATGAAGTATCAGCTAATGGTAGAAAAATACCTTTCTGTATTTCCAGGAAGGAAAAAAGGCTTTTAGAAATATATTCAATGTTATAAAAAAACCCCAGTCTTCACAGATGTTGTCATAAGTCTACAAAGCCGAAGGAATACTGTTCTTCAGAAATTACACTCTGTTTTCTAATTGCATGAATATCATTTCCTAAGACACTGTAGAACTATTTTCTTAAGCAGTAAGGTATAAAGAATATGAGCACATTTCATTTGTGCACACCCCTTAACATCTTGCCAAACAAGGGAGCGAAATAATATTTTATTGTAACTCAAAGCCAAAATTCAATCTTTATGCCATATATTAAAATGAATCTCTTTTCTATTGTCAAAACCCATCTGGCAGTCAGAACTGCACTGGAATCTCTTTCAAGAGAGAAGAGTATTAGGATATAACCAACATACCATTATATCTCCTTGGCAACAAGCCACTGGGACTCCATTCTGAGTCCTCTCTGTCATCTCACTAAGCATCTTGAGCTCACTGGTGGGTCAAAACCTGCCCCTGAGGTGACTGAAATGGAGAGAACAGGGTGATGGTCAGGGTACTAAGACTATTCCCCACTTCATTCTTCTGTAGTGGAAAGGACACACAAGCAACACTCCTCCGAGGACAGGCTAGACTCTCCATGATACTGCAAAGCAAGGCACAGGACAGGCCTTCTCAAATGCAAAATAATCAAAAGTCTGCTATTATAAAACTCATTATCAAGCAGTACTGCATACCTGTGGTATCAGCCTACACTTCTTACTAGATACGTATGTGCAACCAAAATCATGTGTTAAAATAATGCAAGAGTTGAAAGGATATTTTGCATTTTCTTTGTCATCTATTAGTTCAAATATCTGATGAGCACAATTCTTGATTAATTCATCCAGAGCTTCTTCCATGATTGATAAGTCAGCAAGTTCCTCTTTAAGGTTCTGCGGCTCTGGTGCTCTTCCAATAAGTTGGTCAAGACTGTTACCTCTAGAAGAATATGAAAATTGTCTAGCATGTTTGTATAAATAAAAGCACATTTATCAAACATCAAGTATACTAACAGCAAACAGTAAGAAAGTCTGGCATCCTTTTTTCTGCTGAAGTATGCTTCCATGTACTTACACACTTGATACTTGTTAATGTATTAGGTAATTCACATAGCATAAGGAAGGAAACAACTTAAAATACTATCTATGAGAAGTAACTTAATATGCTTAAAGATACTCTCAAAGTTATAAACATTACTCAGCACTGTTGGGATTTACTGTTTCGGAAACTAGAAGCTTCAAAGCCAACTCACATCCACTGGATATGGTTCTTAGATCTTTTCTGAATCAAGTCGATGCCATCCAACACATTGGTGATGTCATACACTCTTCGTTTTCGTACTCCTAGTTTTTTTGCTACTTCATTTAAATCAAGGACACCGTCTGGAGCTTTTCTGAGAAGAGCCATAAATTTTCGTGTCAAAAGCACCAAGGACGCATCAAATCGAGGCCTTTTGATGTCCACAGTTTCTGTAAAGATTTGGTAGAATATTTTAGAATATATTAGGGTAAGCTACTACATAAGCATGAAGTAAAAAATATGATAGTGATGAAGTAACAATGAAGGTAGAAGTCTGGAAGCACTGCAGTTTTTAATGCTTACATTGCAATGGCACCATATAAAGCACATTAACTACACATACCTTCATTTGTTTGCAATGATTTTATCTAAATAGCAAGCATACATTTTTGTGCTTTCAACATTCATGACTCCACACTGCTAGAATGGATATTAATAACTGAGTAACTGTATGCTCTACAGGACATGGGATCGGATCACTGACCAAATACCAATGAAACCTTTGGTTAACAATAGACAGTGCTGAGGTGCTGCCAGAGAAACACAGGTATATCTCTGCTGCATGACACTATTAGAGTATTTTTTCACATCTTTTTGGTCCAGTTTAACCAGCAGACCTCACATGTAACCATTAGGCATGGTTCACAAGTCAGCTTGGCTTCGGGACTGTTTCAGCCTGCACGGGACCTATCTGCTCTGGAACTGAAGAATTCAGCATGCAGACAAACTGTCTGCACTATCTGTTCTCAGGGCAAAAGAACTAGTCATTCCATTGCTTGATTAACTAATACAACAAAGATCTGCAGCTACCCTGACACCCTGGTTTAAAAGATTCCTGCGCTATGTGTATTCATTATCACCATATTTGCAGAAAGAGCAGAAATCCCTGATAAATAACTTGAGATTGTTATTTATGTATGCAAAAAGCACAAAAAAGCACCCACTTCTGAGTGAAAAAGTCATGGTATGCACACGCTCATTTGATACTAGCCAATAAAAGATTGTCAAATTCAGCTGGTACTTGTCTTTTCTCCTGTAAAGCAAACCCAGTATTTAATCTGATCAACCTGTGTCCCCAGCAATATTCCAGTCTAATGCTTCAAGAAAAGGTGAGTGTGTAAACAAAGTACCCTAGACAACACTTTTGCTTCAACCATCAGTATTTTTCCCAAGATGAATGAGATACACACTTTTACTCATAACATATCACACATCAACATATCATTCCATGGCTGCAAGTTTGTGCACTCCTTAACACAAAGTGACAGGCTCAACAACTCAGTTTTGGACTGTGTTACTGTCAAAGGTGTGAAGCAATTTAGCTGGTGAGAAAATAAACAAAAAAAAACCCCAAAAACCCAACACCCAGAAATTCACTCAAGTTTATTTCCACATTTATTAACACCAGTTGAAATGCAACATTTGGCAGTATGTTGTTCCAGTTTTCCCTCACTTTTCCTGTGCACTATTTTCTATATAGCAATGGGAAGGCATACTTGCAACAGATCTGAAGAGAAAAAACTATAAAGAACGTACAGCTTCACATCTGTTATTTCAGTCAGTGTTCAGCATTCTTCCTGCTCTGCTAATATTAAATATAATTTTTCATTTGTCTACAGCGTTGTAGTCACATTGTAAAAAGGCATGACATACTCTAAGATTAATTTTTATACATGACACAGAGCAACTTACTTTTCACAGGCTGTGTGTCCTTGTGCACATTCAGGTCAATCATTGGTACCTGAGGAAATAAAAAGAGAAAAAAAACAACTGTCATAAAATGCTTTCTACAGAGGGAGCTTCTTTAGCAGAAATCCTCAAATCTTTAGATGTTACAGCCAGCACAGTTCTGACAACTCAACAGCTATTACTGTGAAGTGTCATTAGATAAAAGGAATACATGCTTTTTAATTCCTGCCAGAACTTTAAGCCCTTCATCTCAGCACAACTCACTCTGCTTTCAAAAATAGGAAACATCACTGAACTCGCTGATGCCCAGGCAAGCTACAACCTCTCTTGCTTCTTCTGCTTCAATTCATGGCCATTTCCTTTCAGTTGCCCATCGTGTACAACTGTAAAATACCTGGTAACCTTTAAAGTTCTTAACCTGCTTGCAAGTATGGAATGAAACCTGTCTGGGGAAATTTGGAAATTAGATATTAGAAAAATGGATCTTCACTCAGAGGGTGGTTGGGTACTGGAACAGGCTCCCCAAGGGAAGCAGTCACAGCACCAAGAGTTCAAGAAGCTCTTGGACAATGCTCTCAGGAACATGGTGTGACTCTTGGGATTGTCCTGTGCTGGGACAAGAGTTGGACTTGATGATCCTTATGAGTCCTTTCCAACTCAGGATATGCTGTGATTTTACTGAAGGGCTGCAGTAGCTTAACAAGTTCTCTCAGGAGTTTATTAACAGCCTTCCTGTCCTAGTGGGCCTAAAACAGGAACAGCATTCCAAGGGCAATCTAACATATGTCAAGTAAAGAAAAACAATAATTTCCCTCAATTTACTGTTCTTCTGCTAAGACAGCCTCATATGCCTCAATGTCAGGACACAATGCAGGTGCACATTTAGCCCACTGTCCATGAGGACCCCCAGGTCCTTTCAGCAGGGTAATCCCCAGCCTGTACCACTGCAGGGTAAAGGCAAGGCTTTAACTCTTGATTTTCAACTTCCTGGGTTTATGAGGTGTTAGATGACCCCTTCCTCCAGCCCATAAACCTCACATCCTCCACCTAACAGCAGGCCCTAGGACAGACCCTGCCAGGCACCCACCAAAGCTGCTCTATCACTCCCCTCCACAAGTGGTCAGGGGAGAGATGTAACAAGAAGTTCATGAGCTGAGCTACGGACCAGAATAGATCACTCCCCAAATACCATCATGGGCAAAACAGACTCAGCTTGGGAATATTAATTAAATTTATTACCAATAAAATCAGAGCAGAATAATGAGAAATAAAACACATCTTAAGAAACCACCTTCCCCCCACGCCTCCCCAAGCTCTACCCCATCCACACCAGCAGCACAGGGAGAGGGGAATGGGGGTTATGTCAGTTCATCAAATGCTGTTCCTGCTGCTGCTCAGGGTGGAGAATCCTTCTCTACTTCAGTGGGGAGTTCCCTCCCACAGAAGAAAGCCCCCCATGAACTTCTCCAGTATGAGTCCATCCCACAGCAACAGTTCACCAACTGCTCCAACGTCTATCAGTTTCCCTCAGGGTGCAGTCCTTCAGGCACAGCCTGCTCCAGCAGGACTCAAGGCTCACAACTTCTACCAGAAAGCCTGCTCCAGCATGGGCTCCACAGGTCCCTGCCAGGAACCTGCTCCAGCATGGGCTACCCACAAGTTCACAGCCTCCTTTCAGGCATCCACCTGCTCCAGCCTGGCTCTCCTCCATGGGCTGCAGCTGAATCTCTGCTCTTGCACCCAGAGCACCTCCTCCTCCTTTTTTTCCACTCACCTTGGTGTCTGCAGAGTTGTTGTCTCATATATTCTCACTTCACTCTTCTCTGGCTGTAATTACAACTGTATAATAACTTTTTTCCCCCTTCTTAAAAATGTTATCACAGAGGCACTACTACTGTCTCTGATGAACTCTGCCTTGGCCAGTGACAGATCCATCCTGGACCTGCCTGGAATTAGCTCTACAGGACATGGGGGAAACTTCTAGCAGCTTCTCACAGAAGCCACCCTGCAGCCCCCCACCTGCTATCAAAACCCAACCACAAAAACCCAATATAGGTTTATACAAGCCAAGGTTTCCTTTGTTTGGGGTCCCTGCTCCACCTGTTGTACCAAGATTAAGTTATTTTAAGGGCCCAAATGTCTGAGGCTCTGCTATGGGAAACCTGGGGTTAATCTGGTGAGGGGACCTTGTCTGTGTGAGTGTGGGGGTGCAGCTGCAAAGGGGCCTCAGTCCCAGCTCAGGTGGTGTGAGTGACTGACAAGAGTGGCTCTTGAATGGTCAGACAGGAAAATTTCTTCAGTATTGTGACCTTTGACATTCCTTGCTAGTTTCAACACTACAACTTTGGCTTTCCAAGCATCATATCTGCATGTCCAGGCACTTTTTATCCTTGTTCGTCAGGCTGTCCTTCAAGTCTGTCCTGTTCTTTTTGCCCTGAGTGTCATGATGAAACGTGTTTCTCCTTACTGATCTCAATCTCTTCAGCTCCTCCAGCTTCCAAAGCTGCCTTCCCAAAAATTTCAACCTACCTCTTGGCAGAATAAGCTGGAGTCTTGAAGACTGAGTAAGCTGGAATCCAGGTTCTGCACTTTACTACTAACCTTCCTTGAATATGCCACTGTTAAGAAAACTTCCAAGTCTGACCATTCATGAGATTCCCATTCATGTAAGCCTCATGCTGTCACTGCTGGGACTGAAGCCCCTTCATGGTGGACTGCTTCAGTGAGCTACTCCTCAGTGGCTCAACCCCAGGTTTCCCACTGCAGAGTCTCAAATGTATCTCCATAAAGCAATTTATTCACAGTGAATAAACAGCCCAAGCTGGTACCTCCAAAGAGGGATTCACAATAAAGGAAGCTCTAAGTTTTTATACCTCATAGTCTACTCAGGTAAATCTTGCCCTGAGTTCTCTGCTCCTGCTGTGTCTCCCCATGCATCTCTCTTCATCCACCCTGGCAGTGCCACCACCTCTGTGTCCTTTTGTTACCCAAAAAGTTGGCAGTTCATGGCCTCTGCTGCGTCCCTCAGTTTCCACTCACATGGTCAGTGCCACCTTCTTCCTGCCTGCCCTTTGTTATCCCAAGGGTTGGGCAGTTCATGGCCTCTTGTCCAGGGATCCCACCCATCTGCTGCCTGCAAACCGAGCTACCTGCAGAGATGTAATTCCCACCCACTATTCCATGGCCATCACAGGCAAGGCTGTTAATGATTACCACATCCTTGACCTCCCTGTTTATAAGAAGCTGATTAAGGAAAGTATCACCCACTGTAAACTCATCTAAGTATCTACATAAAGAAGCTGTGCCAAACACTATTTGCTTCTTACAATCATCACTTCAATTATCCAGCAAAAAACTTACATGAACTCTTTCACGGCTTTAAGAAAATACTAGCAAGTAACCTTTAGCCCAACGGATAAGATTAATTTAAGGAAAAATGCAATGCATTTAAAATATATCACAAAATTAAAAGCCTGCACCGTCATGATAAACTAAAAAATACGTAACTTTTTTTAAAGCTTTAAAAAATAGACTTTTTTGCAAACCACTTCATAGCATTGCTAAAGGTAACGGTGGCAGCTGCATGTAAGCCGATCACAGACGGTAAGAGGAGAAAACACATTGTGTCCCCTTTTCTCATACTTAGCTACACCATAGTTAGCTCGATTAAAAGGCTGTAAGTGACACAGGCGAGAAAAACCATCCTTTAGCGTTCCAGCACCTTTCCCGGGAAGCCCGCCCCAACGCCACGAGGGAGGGAAGCACCCCAATGCTCCTCTCGGCTACCACGCTGCCCGGCCCGTCGCATCTTTCCCGCCCAGAGACGTAGGCCGGGCTTTCGGCCGCCCCCTCACAAGCTCCGCGGCAGGAGCGCAGCTGCAGCGCCGTCCCGCCCTCTCCGCATCCCCGGGCAGCGCCTCCCGCCATGTACCTCACTTACACGCAACGCGTCCGGCTGCAGCGGCTGCAGGCTCTCCCACTGCTCGGGGCTGGCCATGTCGGCGCGGCCCCGCGGCGAGGCGCTGGAGGAGGCGGAGCGCACAGACGCCCTCATGCCGAGGCTCCGAGCCGCGGCCGGGCGCGGGGCGCCGCGGGGCCGCTCCCGCCCTCATCGCTGCCCGTCATGGCCGCGGCTCCCGCGCGCGCCTGGGGCGGGAACGGGCCGGAGCCGCGCACGCGCCCTCCCCTCCGCCGCCGGGGCGCGCGCGCGGCGCCGCCGCCTTCTCCCTCTGTTTCCCATCGGCCCCCGCGGCGCCTTCCCGCCCTGCCCGACTTCTCCCGGCTTCTCCCGCCCCCCGAGACTGCCCCCGCCTCTCCCAGCGCCGGCAGGAATGCGCCGAATCCGCTCCTTTCCTCCCCTCCCCTCCCGTCAGCCTGCCAGACCGGCGCAGGGAAGGGTCCCGTCGCCCCCGTCCTCGCCTTTGCGACCGCGGCAACGCACTGAGCGCTGCAGCGGCCAGCGTGCGTTAAGGGAGGAGTCACAGATTATGCTGAGTTTGAAGGGACCCACATGGATCGTCGAGTCCAGCTCCTGGCTCTGCACAGGACACCTCAAGAGTCACACCATGCGCCTGACAATGTTGTCCAAGTGCTTCTTGAGCTCTGGCAGGCTGGTGCTGTGACCACTTCAAGCACTGCTTCTTGGCGTGAAGAACCATTTTCTAATATCCTAAACCTCCCCTCCCACAACCTCAGGCCATTCCCTCAGGTCCTGGCCCTGGTCACGGAAGAGAAGTGTCGGCCCCTCCTGTGCCCCTCACGAGCCGCTGTAACTGCGGTGAGGCTCCCCTCGGTCTCCTCCGGGCCAGGTGACCTCAGGCACCCCTCACACAGCTCCCCTCAAGGAGAGGGTCCTCACTGGCCACTGCGAGGAGGGAGGCTTCTCTTTCCTCCAGCTAACAGCATGAGCTAGGAGAGAGCATTCTGGCTGAGCATTGCCATGCAAGCGTGTGTGAGAGTAATTAGTATTGACTCTGCCAAATTACCTTGTTTTGTCAATACTTCCTACTACAAGGCAGCCAAAGCGATGTGTGTCGCTCACAGGGGAGACATGGATAGAATGCCCATGTCAGGGATAAGTTAATTACAAGAGGTTTGTGAGTGAAGGGCAAGGTATATTCCTCTAGGGCCAGACAAGAACCATCAAATGTGGCATGTCCAAACTAATCCTGTCCATTTACCTTGCAGCAACATCCTTTCCCAAGTCCAGTTCCATTGCTCCTGCCCTTTCCTCCATACTTCTGATAACGTTTTACAAGCACTGATGCCTTGTCATTTGCCAAGCCTCAGCAGTACTCTCAACATTTCCAATTGCTTACATAACTTTTGTTTGTCAGACAAAAACATTTCTTTAAAACACAGCTCCTTGTTAGGTAGTCCATTTGTTGCTTGATTGCTCTTCATGGCAATTAACTCTCTTCTACACCAGGTAAGTTTGTCATGGAGTTCTTTTCTTCAAGAATTATGAACTTTTTTGCTTCTCCCACCCACATTTCAGGTGAAATTTCTAGTCCTGATTTCATCAGACATGTAAAACTGCTAGTCTGATATGAGGAATTCAAAGCCATTAAGAACTTTGTTCATATTCTGTCAGACCAAACAAGTCAACTAACACTCTATTATCTTGAATAAATACTGAATTAATTTTCGGTTACCATGTGTTTCATAGCCCTTCCAGTTAGACATTTCTTTAGGGTAGCTTATGGTGTCACCAATGATGTATCAGATGCCTTGATAGAGGATGGAGTTTTCTTCATAGCAACCAATTTTCAGTCAAGTACTTGCATGGTAATAATTGACCTTGTAGAGAAGTGTAGAACTAAGGTGAGTTGTTCTTGTGCTCTAATGAATCAATCAGAATAAAAGAGGGAAAAATATATTACAGCTCCTCAAAGGCAAAATGTGTTTCAGGAGCTTTGGAGTTGTTCATTTAATGACATCATGCAAATGCTGGTTGTCAGTATTGTGAGGCAAGGTTGGTCTGCTGCAGGTGCAGGTTTTCCTGTCATGGAAGGGGCACATGATTACACCAAAATGTAAAAATGCTCATTTTTACTGTGTGTGCAACATAACCTAATTGCTAATTTCTCTGTGGTCATATATGTAGTTCCACAAGGAATTAATATTACTCACTCTTTTTTGTATTCTGGAAGATGTATTTTATCATTGCAGTTCCAGATTGTATAAACCCACTGTGATAGAGCAGGTTTTTTCCACCTGGAACAGCAAAACAGTTTGGAGTAGATATTTAGAGCCACGTTAGTTTGAGGTGATGTGAGGAATGTGCTGAGCAGCGTTAAAGTCGCTGAACAGGAATTGGTGGCTGTTGGCTGGTCAGACACTAGGAGGATGTTAACAACTCATGATTTGAGGATTAGGATACATGAATTCCTGTATTAACCCATGTGGAAAACATTGCATCAACATTTAACTATGCTGTTGTTCTAGCCAGTCATAAGATCAAATCCTATTGTTCCCGTGCTTCTCTGTCCTTGCCTGCTGATGTTATCTCAGAGCGAAGAAGAGCCCCACAGGGATTCAGGTTCAGAAAGTGTTTTCTGTATTTATATGAAAATTAATAAGATTTATTATTCTTTTAAATGAAAATTAGATGTTGAAGTAACTTGCTTGACTATCAGGAGTTTTTGCTGTGGTGTTCTACTGTTAAAGAGTTTTATTCTAGTATGTTATTACTTACATTTTAAAAAGCTGATCATTAAACATCACACATTCTTTATTAGAACCATCTTGGAGATGAAAATGTAAATTATACCCCATTTACTCTTATCTTAATGCATATTAAAATGACTGTGCATTCTTTTAACACCTCCAGACATTAATTGTACAAGACATGATTCTTCAAATAAAATATTTGGTTATTTATCTGTAATTGGTTTCTTTTTCATTACGTTGATTCTTAGTGTGCCACCAGGGGGCAATAATTCATTTCCTAAATCTGATCTTTTACCATCAAAACCTGTCAGAATAGTGAGTGGATTTACTAACATGTCTTAATGACTGTATGTGAAAGGCAAAATATAAATTTCTTTAAAATGCTTCTTAAATTACTTGTGTAATTTAATATTTTACCGTGCACTACTTAGGTTTTATTTTTATTTTGAGCAGCTGAAATTTGACTGCTTTGTAAGTTTTTACTAGTGAACTTCATGCAGCACTGAAATGATGAATGGTTTGTATTTCATGCAGTGTGGGAATTTTTTGGTGTTTTTTCTCTTGCCATTGTAAAATTAAAAATTTGTTTAAATCATATTATCTTCCCATTCTTTTACTTTTTGCTGCACTAATATACTATTAATATTTATTAGCTCATATATGTGATCCTGAAGTTGGAAATTCATCCATTATAAAGTACCTTATATCCTTATATGATTTTTTCTTTCTTTGTGTACATAGTGGTTACAGCATTCTGCAGTTAAAGCCAAGGCTGCCTTCTGTAAAACTCCACAGCTCTGTATCCAATGCAATCTTTCCTTTCAAGACAATCTTGTAATTGGATCTTACATTATGTGCACATGTGTTCCTGAAAAGACGAGCCAGAGGAAATATATTCCTGCAAAAGTGCAAAAGTAAAATGTCATGAAAGACAGCAATTTCTGTAAATATCTGTTTTAACTACATGGGGCTATAGAGCTATCTAATTTTTGTATATTTGTGTGTCAGTCTGTAGAAGCTTCCAGGCCTCCCAAGGGTCCTCACCACTGCATAACCATTAGGCATAAAAGTATACATTTTATGCTGTAAAATGTAATGACTTAAATCTGTTTCTGGCAATAGTAGATTTTTTCTTCATGTGCTCAGCTTAATTTGCCTGAAAAAATTCTTCCTGTACACATGGCAAATAGTCACCCTTTAGTCTAAGAAGGCAGATCTCCTATTTCTTCAATTTGATGTTTGAGTATGAGGAAAATTGAGTCAGTTAATCAGAGCAGCACAGTGCTAAACAGCATTTGTTTTTTTCATGTCCTGAATGACACTTAAAATTCATGGATGTGGTATCACATTGGGGAACAGGGTTTAGTTCATAATATAAACTGAAGCTCCTGCTTCTTCTGCCTGTAATTCAGAAAAAAGATTACATAGATGGAAAAAGGACCCTTAAGGCAACATTACGGTTGGGTAAATAGCAAGTCCTTGCTGTATATGAACACTGGTGTCTTACTGAAAAAGTTCAGGGAATATTATGTTCTTAGGAAGGTTTGGAAATTTGGCAGTAAGCCATCTGCCATGGTCTGACAGAGCCAGGGGGTTTCTAGGTAAAGGTCTTCACAGAGCCTGCTGGATGTTTTCATCCATGCTAAGGAATTTATCAACAGGAGAAGATTCCTGTTGCAAAAGGTCGTTATATTTTTTTGTTTGTATCTTTTCTGTGGCAGGGGAGGTGCAAAATTCCCTGATATATTTAATTTTGTCAACTTTAAATGTATGGAAAGTTGAAGTACATTCTTGTAAGGTGGTTGTCTTTATATCATGAATTTAAAAATATCCTTGAAATTAATTGGGGTTTTTTGGTTGTTTTGGGGGTTTTTTGTGTGGTTTTGTTTTAATTTTGGGGGTTTGTTTGGGGTGGGGGTTTTTTGGTTTTTTTTTTTTTTTTTTGTTTGGTTTAGTTTTTTTGGGGATTTTTGGATGGGTTTTTTAAAATTTATTTTATTTATTTAATTTTACCTTATAATGTGAAAAAGTGTTATACAGTACCTATTTGAAATAAGAGTAGCTTGCTGTTATACGTGCAGTGAGATTTATGATTTAGCACAAAAAGCATAAAAGTAATTCAAGCCTAACACATTGGCCACTTCCATCCTTTCCTCCAGTTTCTCACTCTCTCATAGCAGTGAGAACTTGAAATGGATGAGAAATGTTGGGGCACCTGTTTGTGCTGAGGGAAGGTGTAGGAGAAGGAGATTCTGGGAAAGTGGGTTACCTGCTACTGCAAGGCAAGCTGTAGACAGATGCTGGAAAAACAGAAACCACTGTAAAACCTCAGGTACCTGTTTCCATTTTTGAGGCATCTGCATTCCTCCATGCTGTGCTAGTCCAGCCCCAGTGCTTCCATGTCTTACCATCAGG